CTTTGTGGAGGAGGAGCATATTCATCGATGTTTTTAATAATACATCAGGTGAGGATAATGTGAAGTTAGGATTCAAAACTACTGTTTAAATTTTTTTTTCAGGGCCTCCCTGGTGGTGCAGCAGTTGAGCGCTGGGCTGCAAAGCTGCTCACAGCCTCTGCAGCGCCGGTTCGATCCCAGGCTCCCCGGCCACCTCAGTAGGGTCCCACATGGTGCACAGACCTCTCCTGCCGCCCGCTGCTCCCCTCAGCAGTGTACTTTGGTCCTTCTGCCTGCTCTGCTCCCCTCTCTGGCTCTGGTGAATTCTCTCACCCTCCCGCACTTCTGACTGTACCCAGTGCTTGTATAAATAAATAAATAAATAAATAAATAAATCTTTAAAAAAGATTTTTTTTTCACCATTAGGGGGTATTTAAAAACATACAAAACTGCTTTAAATAAAAAGAAAAAAAATCCTACAATGGTTTTCCCATTACATTCAGGATAAATTTGAAATTTCTTACTTTAATACCGAAGGCTTTTCTGAATGAGTGCTAATTACCTCTCCAGTTCCATCTCATGATCTTCCATGCCTCCCAGCCTGCATTCTCCCCAGTATGTCCTGTTGCTTCATAGCTGCATGACTTTGCCCGAGTTCTCTGTTTCTTTAATAACCTTCCCATTCCTGTACCTCATCAAAGACTTGATTCCAGGCTTCTACCTCTGGAAAGGAGCTATTTTTTTTTTTTAAGATTTATTTATTTATGCACACAAGAGCTGGGGTACAGGCCAGAGGGGCAGGGGGGTGAGAAGATTCACCAGAGACAGAGTGGGGAACAGAACAGAGAGACTGACTGAAATGCACTGCTGAGGAGAGCAGCGGACGAGGCAGGAGAGGTCTGCTCCATGTGGATCACCTCCCTGGCCGGCCAGGGATCGAACTCATGCTGTAGAGGCTGTGGATTGCTCCATAGTGCTGTGCTTAATCCCCTGTGCCACCAGGGAGGCCCTGGAAAGGAGCTATTTTTTAATTTTATTTTATATATTTTCTACATCATTTATCATTTTTGTACAATATATACATTTTCATTTTGGTTATATTCCCCTTACAATTCCCACCCCCCTTATTTTGACCCTAATTCCTCCTCTTCCCCTCGCCCCTGTAGTGTATCTCTGGTTTGTAGTTGCTTGTTGATTTTGATTTTTACTTTATTATAATTAGTATTTTTCCTGGTCCCTTATTTAGGTTTTCTAAATTCCTGCAACGAGTGAGACCATCCAGCGTTTTCTTTTTCTTTCTGGCTTATTTTGCTGAGCATGATCTCTTCCAGGGCCATCCATGTCACTGCAAATTGCATGAGTTTATCTTTTCTGATTGCTGAGTAATATTCCATGGTATATATGTACCACATCTTCTTGATCCAGTCATCTATTTTTGGGCATTTGGGTTGTTTCCATAGCTTAGCTATTGTAAATAGTGCTGTTATAAACATAGGGGTGCAGGTGCCCTTTGGAATTACTGTTTCTGAGTCATTTGGGTAAATACCTAGGAGTGGAATTGCTGGATCATATGGAAGCTCTATGTTTAGTAGGTCCAGAAATCTCCACACAGCTCTCCATAGTGGTTGGACCAGTTTGCACTCCCACCAACAGTGCAGGAGAGTTCCTTTTTCTGCACATCCTCACCAACATTTGTTGTTGCTAGTTTTTTAAATGTTTTTTTATGTTACACCATTCTCACTAGTGTACTATGGTATTTTATTGTAGTTTTGATTTGCATTTCCCTGATTACAAGTGATGTTGAACATTTTTTCATATGCCTGTTGGCCATTTGCATTTCCTCTTTGGAGAAGTTCCTTTATAGTTCTTTTGCCCATTTTTTGACTGGATTATTAACTTTGTTTTTGTTGAATGTCATCAGGTCTTTGCAGATTTTTGTGATCAGTCCTTTATCACTAGCATTTTGTACAAAAATGTTCTCCCAGTCGGTGGGTATTTCTTTGTTGAAAGGAGCTATTCTTAAGGAAAAAGAAAAATATCTCTTCTTAAAAATAATACTGAAGTTTTTCACTAATGCTTTCTAGCTATTTGTACAGTCAGCTCCAAGCAGACCTAAGCTATTTTCTCTCATAGCTACACTGTTTTTCAATATCCATACCAAGAGAATGTTAAATGTCAGAATGTGCTGATTGAGAGGGAACCCTTAAAAGTTGTTTGAAATTGATTTACACTCTGGCAAATGGAAAGACCAGTGCCTCTGGGCAGACAAAATCATCAACTTTGTCTCCTACATACATATTGTATATACCTAACACACACACACAAAAGCTAGCCTCTCCTTTCCTAGAAAAAAAAGGCTTTTGGCACATCATGTAATTCTTACTCATTTGAACTCTAATTTGACACATAATTTTTTCCTCATTTTTGATGGATTTTTACAAATACCATGAAATGAACATTGTTTTCCCATTTATTTCTCTATGTTGAGAATGTCTTCCCTAGAATAGAATGTGAGGGAAATGTTGGATTTAATGTTCTAGTTTTTAGAATAAGTAAACTTTGGGCCAAATTAAAAAGTTTATAAAGACCCTTGAGAAATGGTCAGGTATTCTCTTGCATGATTGTGTGCCATCTCATAAGAAAAAATCTAAACATCTTTGAAATGTGTTCCATTTTTTCTCATTTCTCCTTCCAACTCTTAAGAAACAGCAATAAGTAAGTGCCAAGAGTATATATTTCTTCTCTTGAATGCTCTGAGCTCTAAATCCTCCTTATCCTATCTACTAAGAATTGACTTGAGGGAGACAAAAATGTTAAAGAAAAAATGACAGGTGTCAGCACTGGGAACTCAACAATAGGCAGGTACTTTCATTTGTTTATTAAACAAATATTTATTGAGTGCCCACTATCTGTCGGATAAGATACATATTCAATCGGCAAAGTCCCTCTCATGAGGCTCACTGATATCACTGAAGATCTCTGTCTTGGCAAATCTGAGGGTCAGTTCCACATTCTCTAACTCCTCCCCTCAGTGGATTTTGCCCTCTTTCCTTCAAATTGTTTCTTTGGCCTGTAAGCACCATGCACTCCTGGTTTTTCTCCCTGGCAAAACCTTTGCTATATTATTCACTGACTCCTCTTTCTCCTGATAGGTAACAGCGAAACTTTTCTTCTTTAGCTACATTCTCATCCTAAGTGATCTCCTCCAGTCCTGTGACTAATGCTTGATGTCATTGTGCCCCAAATCTGCATCTCTAGTCCCCTCTTCATCCTGAGCTCTGGACTAGATCATATGTCCATATCTCTACTTGGATGCCAAATGACATTTCAGACAGAGCTATAAATTTCCTCTTAGAGTCCCCAGGCCAAAGCTGTTCCTCCTCCAGTCTTTCCCATTTAGTAAGCTGCATCATTTGTTTGACCAAGATCTAAATACTAGAGATTGTGGTTGGCTGCATGTTACAGAATCCAATGAAACCTCTCAGGAGACCAGGGCTGCCGGGTAACTCTTCAGTGACAACAATGTCCTGGGTTCCTTCTGTCTGATTTCTTCACTGCCTTATGGTTGGAAGATGACAGGTCCACCTCCAGCCTCACAGCCACATGCCAATAGAAAGAAAGGGAAGAAAGGAACAAGGTGGAACGCATAGAGCATGTATGGAAATAGCAACATATTCCCAGAAATTCCTCATAGACACATCTCTCATTGTCCGGACTGAGTAAAAAGCCCCACCTCAATTGCAAGGGAGGTTGGCAAATATCCTTTTTTAACTAGGCACTCTGCCACTTTGCACAATCAGGGTTCTGATATATGGAGGAAAGGTAGACAGGGTATCGCATAGGCAGTAGCAGTACCTTCCTGTTACCCAGGGTGCTCTCCTCTCCGAACCTCATCACCAATCTACAGGTAAGTCCTTATCAGCCCCACCCTTAAAACACTAAACAAATTCAGCTGCTATTTTTATTGCTCCAGTCCTGGCCTGACACCATCATCTCACACCCAGACCACAGCAAGAGTCCCCCAACTGGTCTTTCTCTTTCATACTTGCCCTCTCTCTAGTGCTTCCTTAGAACAGTACTTAGGGGGCCTTCCTGGTGGCTCAAGGGGTTAAGTTGCAGCATGATGAAGCTATCTTCAGCCACTGCAGTATGAGTTTGATCCCTGGCCTGGCCAGGGAGCTAACCCACATGGCGCAGCAGACCTCTCCTGTCTCACGACTGCTCCCCTCAGCAGTGTATTTCAGTCAATCCACCTGTTCTGTTCCCCACTCTCTCTGGTGAGTCCTCTCACCCCCTGCATCTCTGGCCTGTACCGCAGTTCTTGTATGCATAAATAAATCTTTAAAGAAAACAGTAGTCAGGGAAGTGTTCAAAGGTATACATATAATCATACTGCCTCCACTGTTAAGTACTCCAGAGGCCCCATCATAGCCGCACCCTCCCCGAAGCAGATCTTGAGACAATATTTGCATGCAAATCCTTTATTGAAGGTACAGGACACATGGTGAGACCAGGACAGGAAAGGAGCCTAGAGAAGGTACATATCGAGCCAGTCTCCCCAGAAAGACGAAAGACTAACCCCAGAGAAAGCACTGGGTAACAGTGTAAAACACTTGCTCCAGAATGACGACCCAAGGGACAAGGGAGGGTATTTATACACTAGTGCCCAAGGGGTGCTGGCTTTGCTGCAGTGGCTTGAACACCCAGTCCCAAATCGGCCCTTCCCTGACCTCACTCAATGAGAGAGCCAGCACTTTCTTCTACTTATCAGCCTTACTGCTTATAGACCTTCACAGCTTCTTTCATGTGGAGCAGAATCACAAGAGGGTTGAGAGTCACTTAATAGAACTTCTAAAATAATTCAAGGAAGTGAGTGTCAGAAACTTAACTGAGTTCTAGTGTCATTTGAAAGTAGTTAAGTTTTTGGGATGCTCTCATTTTGACCAAAAAATGTATATAACGACATTAATAATATTGGAAATTATCTAGTAGGGCATATATGATGTTTTTTAAGTCAATATATTAAGGTATACATCATTTAATACTAGCAAATAGGAATATGTGTATTATATCTGTAACTAGCTTGCTGCAACTATCGAGGAGGGTATAGATGAACAGTAAATGGTTTGGGGTAAGTTTCTGCCTTTAGATTACCTTACTACTTTCCTTGCTTCTTCAATTGTTCTACAAAATAGTCATTACAAGCAACTGTCAGAGCTGCCACCATGACCACAAATTCATTAAAATCCACTTCGTTGTCCTTATTGGCGTCCAGGTCCTGCATTATCTTATCAACCAACTGGGGATCCTTTTGGCACTACAAGGAAAAAGAAAATGTCTAACTCCCAGGCCTTCAGGTTCATAAGGACACCTGAAATCTTCCTTTTGTTTACCTTAAAGTTTTTATTTCTATGCTTAGCATCTAAGGACAATTTTTAAGAGACTATTTGCAGGTGGGTTTGACATAGGCACACATTCCAAACAAATTTAGCCCTGTTTCAGGACCATATAGTCCCAGCTGAATCCTAAACACCAAGCAAGCAGCAGTTCAAGTGAACTACTGATGCTAAACTCATGTTTACATCACATTATGATGTCACAGGTCAAGGACCCTCACAAATTTGGAGGACACAAACATAAATGTGAAGGTGTTTGGCACCAGGGCTGCTAGATTTAGGGACTAACAATACAGGATGTTCAGTTTAGTGTGAATTTCACATGAACAATTTTTTTTTTTAGGATTTTTATGTCATCAAACTTATTAAATTTACTCTTGGGCCCCCCTGGTGGCACAAGGGGTTAAGCACTGAACTCTGAAGCAATTCACAGTCTCTGCAGCACAAATTTGATCCCTGGCCGGCCAGGGAGCAACCCACTTGGCGCAGCAGACCTCTCCTGTCTCGCCCGCTGCTCTCCTCAGCAGAGTATTTCAGTCGATCTGCCTGTTCTGTTCCCTACTCCGTCTCTGGTGAATCCTCTCACCACCCCGTATCTCTAGCCTGTACCCCGGCTCTTGTATGCCTAAATAAATAAATCTTAAAAAAAAATTAATTTAGGGCCTCCCCGGTGGCTCAGTGGTTGAGCGCTGGGTTGCAAAGCTGCCCGCAGCCTCTGCAGCGCCAGTTCGATCCCCGGCTGCTCCCCGACCACCGGAGGAGGGTCCCGCATGGCGCGCAGACCTCTCCTGCCGCCCGCTGCTCCCCTCAGCAGTGTACTTCGGTCCTTCTGCCTGCTCTGCTCCCCGCTCTGGCTCTGGTGAATTCTCTCACCCTCCTGCGCTTCTGACTGTACCCAGTGCTTGTATAAATAAATAAACAAATAAATCTAAAAAAAAAAAAAATTAATTTACTCTTTCTGGTGCTTAAGTTGTATGTCCTGATACAAGACCCTTGGATAATATCCAGTTTCACATTTATGAAACTATCTTTTGTATAAAGAATGAATTGTATATCTAGCTTTATTTTCCCTTACTGCTAAACTGTCCTACAAATACTATTTTTGTATTCCTAACTCTTATGTTTTAGTTAGACACTATCATTGATATTTTGAAATATCACTGCTAGCAGATAGTCTCTTCTCATATAACTTAGAGGCTATTTATGGCCTTTTAAAAATAATTACATGTCTTTTCACTTACTGCCCCACAACTTTACACATCCAAATAAAACTGAAGTAATCCAGTTACATTTCACAGCCAATTTTTTACATTCTCAAGTAGGATATGCTGCTATATTAAATATATAGATGAACAATTTTTTAGCGTAAATGTTCCCAAAACATATGCAACGTACAATAGTTTTTAATCTAGCAGCCTTATTTTAGCAGAATGCCTAACACAAAGAGGCACCCAGTAAAAGGTAGCTCTTATGAGGATAACTCCATTTTTTTTTTTAAGATTGTCCTTTTTTTTTAAGATTTTATTTATTTACTTATACAAGCACTGGGTACAGTCAGAAATGTGGGAGGGTGAGAGAATTCACCAGAGCCAGAGCGGAGAGCAGAACAGGCAGATTGACGAAGTACACTGCTGAGAGGAGCAGTGGGCGGCAGGAGAGGTCTGCGGGCCATGTGGGACCCTCGCCCGGTGGCCGGGAATCGAACCGGTGCTGCAGAGGCTGCAGGCAGCTTCGCAGCCCAGCACTCAACCACTGCACCACCAGGGGAGGCCCTGATAACTCCATTTTTATGGACAGAAAGTAAAGCAAGGACCCCATAGAGATGTTCAGGGTTCAGAAGGGTGGGAGTGTGAGTACCCCCCTTGCCTATAAGTTGTTGATGAGAAAGGATTCTAAAAGTGATTCATTTCTTCCAGGTATTCCCCATTGCTCTCTCATTAGCTGCCAGCCATTAAAAGGCTGAAAACTTAAACTGAATTGATAAAGATCAACTTGAGCAAAAACAATTACAAATTCCACTTGAATAAATCAATGTGCCAAGTTCAACAAACTGAGCATTTTATGCTAAATGTTTCCAAACTAGATTTGGAAAAAAATAAAGAGTTCCTGGGGATTCACGAAATCAGTATGAAGAACTGCTATGTTAAATTTTTTATTTTAAGCTTTTCCCATAGAAGGTGGAGAGAAAAGATTGTTGTAATTACATCACTACAGTATTAACAGTGGATTTGGACAGAACACCACTATGCAAGGGTCGAGTCTGGTGCTAAAGTCTATTCAAGTTCAAGGCTGCTCCATGAACAACAGAGTAAAGCGTTTTCCACAGAGCAGACTCCAAATGCTCCATGATAAGTTTTCATGTGTCGATTTACTGAACTCCTGGCTATTTGGGGATGCCATCTTGTTTGCTGCCCAGTTCCTCACTGGCCAGACATACTCTTTCTGTCAATTCTAATCGGTTTGTGCTTGGCAGATGAAATTAAGCATGTCATTCACTAGAAAATTTCCCATCATAGCATAAAGTACCCCAGACTCCAATTCTGGCCAAATACATATTTTACAGATTTTACAGACAGCTAGACAAAGTTTCAGGTATAACTCACCTCACTAATTATCACTAGCTCAAACTTTGATTGCCACACCAGAATGCTGAATTGATGAATGCCTTAAATGTAGTTTTACTTCAAAACCCCAACACAGGCAAAATGGAAAATGCCTTCTGCCCATATACATAGAAAACCAGGGTGCCTAGTGTTTGCTTCCCTACATTTTGAATGATGGTGCACATGGTACTGTGTGTGATAGAACCACGGGTGCCTGTGTGCGTGGTGGCTGCCTGTCCTGTGGACCTCACCCACCCGCCACCAAGGGGGGCAAAAGCCGCAACTCACCAAGAGGAATTCCGTTAGCTCTTGCTGCAGGAGCATTTTCAGCTCCCCTTTGTTGAGCTTGAATCTGTTCCCTTCCTTGCAAGAGTACTGGTGGAAGGTTCTAATCATGGTGTCCATGGCAGTCTCTAGTGGGGTGGGCATGCTGGCGGCAGGCTGACCAGTCCCTGGGGCAGGTCAGCAAACTCCAAGAGCAAATGCTTCTTCAAAATAAGCAGATGGGGAAAAAGCAACATGTTCAGTAAAACAAAACATTCCACGCCCCAGTCATCTCAGATCACAAGTGTTAGTTGTTAAACCTGTAGGGGCAGGAACTGGGCACAGTGCAGGTTTTCTGATCCCATGCAGACCGGGTAAAGGAGGAGTCAGAGTCCTCAGTAGTTTTGCAGGTTTTTTATTTGGGGTTCACCAGGCATATGGCAGGCAGGGGTGCTGGCTGGGGGGCTGGCAGGCTGGCAGGCCTCCCAGCCCCCAGCAAGTCTTCACTCTATCTGGACTCTCTGGCGTTCTCTGCTTCAGCTTCTCCTTCAGGTTCTGCTGCTGCTGCTACTGCTGCTGCTGGCATTCCCGCCCCGTGACGCCGCCCTTAAAAGCACAGTCTTAGCTCAGCTGAATCCCATCTACCTATGCCCACACCCTACTCCAGGTGCCCGCCATCAGGCATGCATTCAGGACAAGGATCCATCATCTATCCTGATGGCGGAAGGGCAGAAAAGCCTGATATTTTCTTTACCCTACAAACCATAATAAGCTCCTTTGAAAGAAGGAGGGTGAACTTTACAGGTGAGTTATCTCCTCCCTAAACCCCACTCCCCTAAGATGTAGCAATTTGAGCGTGTTTATAAGTTAGGGAACCAATAAGTACAGTCTTAAACATAAATGAAAAAATAAAGAAATAAAGTTAGGAAGAAAAAATGAGGAAGAAAATACCTAATTTTGTAGCTGTTCGGCCAGGGCACCACTCTGTCAACAGGTGTGTACAATTATAGGCGTTTCTACCTGGGGTGCCACCTTGGCACACCTGTTCCCAAGATGATGAAAATTACCAGTGACAAGAGATTCAGATGCAGGTGCCTCTGCGTCAGGTTTTAATCACCAGAATAAACAGGTTGAGCTGCGGCCCCAAGGGCCAGCAGGGGAGGGGGGATGAGGGGAATACCCACTGTGTGAATTAGGTAAGAGAAAGGGAGGGAGAGAAGTTTCAGGTGTCCCTCATTATGGGAGCGCCTGCAGATAAGCAGCTAGTCATCAGGAAGGGGAAGGGGGATGGGCTCTATAAAGAGAGGAACTAAGCGAAGGGTTGGTTCACACCCGGAGACTCCTCAGCAGACCCCTAGCAAGGTCAGGGAGTAATCTTAGAGAAGACTAGTCAAACTAACCCACTGGGCTGTTGTGCAGCTGTAAAAAAAAATGAGGAAGCTCTCCAGATGCTGATGCAGGGAGGTACAAGCAGCAATCCAGGTGTGCAGGGAAGAAATAAAGAAGATGAGCATGTATCCTTGATTTGGCTAAGGAGTCTCTGAAAGTACCTAAGAAAGTTAAAAAAGAAAAAGGTAATGTAACAGCTGCCAGAAAAGAGGTGTAATAGTGCTCAGGAAGATTTCTCACTTCCAGCTTTTCAACTGATGTTACTTTTCAGTGATAGGAATGTCTGGCCCGGTCCAAAATGGGAAGGGTTAAACCGGAGTGTGTAGAACCCATAAGGGGCGAACATGGCTGAATGTGTAGAACCCATAAGGGGTGGGGATGAGGTTTTTCAAGTGAGAAAACTTAATAAAGAGCCCCTGGCAAAAAACCAAAGCCACTTGAGCTTTTAAATGCTGCCTGTCCTCTCAGGACTGAAATGTAATTACATAAAACGCAAACTAGTACTTTTTTTTCCCCTCTCCTTTCAACAAGTCTGTTGGGATGGAACTGAGACCAGCCCCTCCTCCTTCCTCTTACCATCCAGGGAACTGTGAAACCTCCCTAGGGGCCTCTAGGGGTGTCCTCACCATAAGCCTAAAGCTGAGTTTTCAAAAATATTTCTTAAATTGGTTTTTAAAATTATTTAAGTAATAATATTATTTTGAATGCTCAAGAGTATGAAATAAAACTAAAGTTCACTCTCCAGGCCTGGCCCTAGACCCCTAGGTTAACTCTCCTGTGCTGAAAGTCTGGACCGTGTGGCTTCAGCTCTCCCATCTGCCATTAACTAGCTGTGTGCCCCTGGGCTAGTTACTTCCACTGAGTCTGTTTCCCAATCTGTATAAATGGGATAACAGTAAAATCTACCCAACAGAAAGGATGAAATAAATTAAAATAAGTACCTGGAAGATAGTAAGCATTATGTATATTTCAGCTAGTATTATGCTTAAAAAATGTAATTTATGTAATATAATGTAATACAATATAATGTTATATCCTTATACCTACAAACACATGCGTAAGTCTGCCCAGACAGTCCCCACTCTGGAGATGGAATAACCCCCTTGAAGGCAGAATTGATACCTGGTCATCTTAGCAGCCCACAGCATTTAGCACGAGATCAACATGGAGAAATGCTCAGAAATCTTTTCTGATGTGAAAGAAAAAGAAATACCGGATGGTCTCACTCATAGCAGGAATCTAGAAAACTTAAATAAGGGACCAGGAAAATGAATAACTATAAGAAAGTGAAAATCAAAATCAACAAAATCTATGAACCAGAGACACTCTATGGGGTGTGAGGGGTGGGGAGGGGAGGGATTGGGGTCAAAATAAGGGGGTTGCAATTGTATGGGGAATATAAAAATAAAATTTATTTAAAAAAAAAATCTTTTCTGATGGATAATGAACAAATGAATCCGAGAAGAAAACTGTAAGATCCCCAAAGAGTTGAGCCTTGTCTGGTTTAACTTGTCTAAAGAATTGCTTACCTTTATTTGACATAAAAAAAAATTGCTTCATCAAAGAGAGAGACACAGACAGACACAGTACAGTTACTTCAAAGAATATAAAAAGTCTGAATTTGAAACTACATATTATCAGGCTGCTGAAACTACAAATGCACTTAAATGGGTCTTATAGAATATGAAGATCTTGGAAGTATATTTAAATCATATTCAGTGCAAATTAACTAATTTGGAGAATTCAACTGGCAGGCAAAACTCTTATTAGAATAAATATTTAAAATTGTGATGCTGTAATCTGATTTGAGAGAAAGGGCGGTAGTCTCCTTTGCTCCCGGGGGTTTAAAAGCTAGGTGGTTTCTGCAGTTCTTTAGCAGAGTTGAATGTTTCCTTTGGTGCATGCTGCCCCTTAGTGTCAGAATTCGGAACTGCATCTGGGAGCCCTCTAATTCCCAGAACGTGCTTGAAATTAAGCCCATCTTCAGGGGCTTATCTGTTCCATGAGGCAGCCCCAGCTTCTTCAGAAACAAAGGTAACGTCGAAGCCTCAATAAGACTGTTAGTCAGGGAATGTCAGTCTCAGGACAGGCAGGGGGGACATGTCTGTTTATAGCACTGAAGTGTTCATACTCCCCTACCTCCTTCTTTGCTCTATTAATTATTACAATTTTACTTTTCCACACTTGGCATAAGCCCTAAACCTTGGGGCTAAAAGGTACAACTTTGCATCCAAGAGAATCACAAAGAATGAGGGAAATGGAAAGATCAGATGTAGAGAAGTTTAAAAGTCAGGCTATTTTAGAGGAGAAAAACTAGTCAAAGCCACAACAGTGAGAGCGAGGCAAGCTGTTTGAAAGTAGGGTTTTGGCTGTGAAACCTGCAGGAAAGGCACTATGTGAAAAACAGGCCATCCTATCAACTGGAGCATGACTGACACCCACTTGAGCCTGCCATGAATTCCACATTCAGTCATATGAAAGCCAAGTTGCCCCCTTCCAAAGTTGGCATTTTTTCTCTTTTTATGTAACTGGTTCAAAGGTTCTGTCATTTTCTTAGCAATGACGTGGACACATCTAAAACAATTACAGGGTGTGAGAAGCAGCGATTACAAAAGGGAGTGAGGAAACTTTGGGGTGTGATGGATATGTTCATTCTCTTGATTTGGTGGTGGTGGTTTCAGTGCACACATATGTTGGGACTGACCCAAGTGTGCATTTTACAGATGTGCAGTTTATTGTATGTTAATTATACTGTATAAGGCTAGTCAAAGAAAGAGACTTTCTGAGAATCTCATAACTAGATTATAGCAAGCTGAGGTCCCAATCCTTGTTTGACCCAAAACTAAAGGCATGCAGTCATTTAAAATTAGAATTATAAAAACTATCAAAAAGCAAAGGAGGGCCTCCCCGGTGGTGCAGCAGTTGAGCGCTGGTTTGAGAAGCTGCCTGCAGCCTCTGCAGCGCTGGTTTGCTTCCCGGCCTCCAGAGAGGGTCTCACATGGCTCGCAGACCTCTCCTGCCGCCCGCTGCTCCCCTCAGCAGTGTACTTCGTCGGTCACTCTGCCTGTTCTGCTCCCCGCTCTGGCTCTGGCTCTGGCTCTGGTGAATTCTCTCACCCTCCCGCACTTCTGACTGTACCTAGTGCTTAAATAAATAAATAAATAAATAAATAAATCTTTTTTTTAAAAAAAGCAAAGGAAAAATCAGCAAAATTAAAATCAAATGTATGCTGTAATAGAAAAAAATGTGTACATGTAGGAAATAAGGAAAACATAATACTTTTAGTACAATCATGGGTGATTAAAAATTCCTTAATGCTGTTAATTGCATTTTCAATTAAAACATTAATTATATGGTTGCTTAAGATTGTAATCTATCTGCACATTAGGAAATGTCAATATCTCTTATGGTATAATGTCACATTTAAAAATTTAGCATATAAAGTTCCCTTTTTTTGAAACTTATTTTTTAAGGATTATTTATTTATGCATACAAGAGCTGGGGTGCAGGCCAGAGATGCAGGGTTGAGAGGATTCACCAGAGACAGAGTGGGGAGCAGAACAAGCAGATCTACTGAAAGCCACTGAAATACACTGCCTAGGGAGCAGTGGGTGAGACAGGAGAGGTCTGCTGAGCCATGTGGGTCACCTCCCTGGCCCGGGGATGGGGATTAAACTTGTGCTGGGCTGTAGGGGTTGCAGATTGCTTAATAGTGCTGTGCCTTAACCCCTTGCGCCACCAGGGAGGCCCGCATATAAAGTTCTACATTCAAAATAATCATATAATGTTTTCATCGATGCATTAGGAAAGATAAAGCAAATATGCAAAAATGTTTTTATCAAGATATAATAGTTTCAGGTGTACAACATAATTTGATATTTGTATATATTGTGAAATGATTGTCACACGTACAGATTTTTTTTCTTGTGACAAGAATTTTTAAGATGTCCTTTTAGCAACCT